ATATATATATATACTTTAGGCAGCTCTTGGAGAAATTGCAACAACAATATGTCGGTAATGTGATTATTATTTTACAAACCTTTACATTGAAACTAGTTGGGGCCTCCAATGCCAGTGCCACCACATGCAACCAGGTGTTTATTTTGAACTTCAAACATTTTGAATTCATATTAATTGAACAATACTACAGCTGTTATACATGCACCAGAGCATGKGAAATAACCTGTGTGTTTGATTCAACCTATAAATATTTATACATAAACATTTTTAAAATGGCACCTTTGTTACATTTGGGAAAGTGTGCAGCAATACGTGGCCCCCTCCGTCATTTAAGTTGTCCATCACCGACCTAGACAAACATGTCAGATAATAATTATTCATGGCCTTTCCACAAAACTCCACAAAAAAAGGTTTTTGATTTGAGGAACGAGATTTTCCAGGTTGATGGCATAAACACAGTCTGATTAATTTAAATGGATGCATTTAAGCCCATTTTTCACTAATAATGTATTAATCTTTCCTAATTAAAATGATGGTAGGCTCTGTTTGTTTTTTGCAGGACTGAAATAAACTGATGAAGCTGAGTTTTGCAATGTAGCGCTTTAACAGCCCCATCCAGCTGACAGTCCACAGCTCCAGAGTAATGTCATGTCATGAATCAGACCTGACTCACCTCACCCCTTCTCATAAAGCTCTTTGTAACWGTAAGAAAAGTGCCATGCAAGTTGTTTTTTCTTTAAACAACAGCTTATAGAGGGAGAATCTGCACAGCCTCACATACATGTTTGTTTCATCACGCGGATGCAAACCCTGGTTGTGTTTGCACGTGCTCACAATGACACACAAACAAACTGCGGGCGTGGCAGGAAGCTCCCACTGTTTTAATGGCTAATAAGTACAAAGGGTTTATTTCCTGACCTTTCACACCATCTTAGTAAAGTCCTCATAAAGAGGATTCATTGCTGTTATTTTCCCGGGTCYTGCCAGCTGAAATAATTGCGCCCTGTGCGTCTCTCAGCTGTATTAGTTGAGTGTAATAGAGTATGAATCACACTCTCTTGTAAGTGTCGGGATTAAGCACATGTGGGATTTACACAGTCTTCTTCCATTATCCTGCAGCACATTGGGCTTCTTTGTCCATTTGTGTACTCATACACTCGGTGCGTGTGTGTCTGTGTCCTGCTGTGTCGATGTTTGTGTGTGTTTTGCATACAGTAAGTGAATGCATGTGGGTGGAAAACATTTCTCTTTGCATTTTCACTTACATATCTTTTTTTTCCTTCTTCTTTTTTTCTTTTCCTCTGAAAGAGCAGCACTAAAAAGCTCCATTGAACATCAAATTCAACACTTGATGTTCTCTGCAGGTTATTCCATATCACACCAGGGGTCGAGCTTGGGGGTCTATTTCATGGCATTTCCAGTGCTGAGCTCTGAGATTGGAAATGGAAAAATCTGCCAAGGACTCTTGTATATTATCAGAGAAGCAAAAGGAGTTGCACCAAGGCCTCGGAGTTGTGTTGCTCTTTTTTGGTCAGTGTGTGTGTGTGTGTGTGTGTTTTTGTGTGAGGGGGGTGACTTTCTGATCACGGCGAGTTCAGATGCACATGCTGATGGGAGCATCGAGATGCTGAATGTTTTCAAAGTGCCACTGGCAGTGCGAGAAAGGAAAGATGTCTCAGCTGCGAGCTCCTTTGACCGCGGGAGGGTTCAGATTAATTTTCTGTGCTGTCTGTTGGGAAAAAGAAGAAGAAGAAGAAGAAGAAGAAGATGGGGATTAGGCCAAGCTGCTCAAAAATGCAATCCAAACTCACATAATGTCTGCATACTTTGCTCTGTTACAACAGAAAAGTTTTTTGTAGTGCAACAAATGGAAAGTTCCTTTTGTGAAAGTTACAATTTTCCTCATTTAGTGCATATTTTTGTGTGCTTGTGACTTACTAAAATATATCATTAACACTACTTTTAATGGAACAGAAAGGAATCACTAGTTGTTTATCTATCCAGCCCGCCAATTAAGCCCCACCCCAACTCCCACAAAATAAAACATTTTGGGAAAAAATTAAATTTATTATAAACATACGTAATCAGTTTTAAATTTATGATTCATTCAATAAAAGCAAATTTAAAATGTAAAAAAATAGAAATACTTGTTCTTTTACATAATGCAGTGTTTCTCCTACCATTATTGGGCAACAACTCTGCCCCCATTTTAGTTGGCTAGCCCTAGTTTGGACTAAATCCCAACACATTTTCTGACTTTATAACGGATTGCACAAATTTTTTCGTTTTATATTTCTCTTAACTTTTTAGCGTCAACTCTGTCCGTTAGCAAAATATCTCCTGAAACACTGGAGAGATTCAAATAAAAATGTCCAGAAATATTTAGCACGTGGTATGAACCTGATTTGCTTTTTAAAGTTAAACCAATTCAAGATGGCCACCACGGTGTACGGACAAATGCTCACAAGGCAAAAGCTCAAAGTCTTCATGAAAATACACCAAAGCTCACAACGTTTTTACATGTTTGAAACACCAAAGGAATGTCATTTGTGAAACCTTAGATTTGCTTCCCTATTCCTTATTTTGAATTGCTCTCACCTTTTAACCTTCCACAGACAAATTTCCATATGAAACATGTCCCCATTCCATTCTCTCTACATCACAGCTGTGGCAGCTTGTTTGTTTCGTAAAGACAAAACTGCATTTCGTTTACTAAAGCTCATTGTATCACTCTGCATTCCCCGAGTCCCAACTCTTAGAGCTGTGACACTAAATGTACATTTACAATTAACATTTGGAGTCACTTCAAGTCAAGAYCCTGCACTGTAAAAAATGAAATGTTGGATTTACTTAACCATGTTATGTTACCTGGTTCCACTTAACTGAGTTGAGTGAATTCAAAGCAATATACCAGTTTTTTAGCCAAAGAACATGAGTATGTTGCTTTGAATTTACTCAACTCAGTTAAGTGGAACCAGGTCACATAACATGGTTAAGTAAATCCAACATTTCATTTTTAGAGTGCACTATCCACCTCAGCCAACAAAAAAATGCGTAGTTAGAAAGTAAGTACAAATACTCCTTTACTGTACTTAAGTAGAATTTTTGAGTATATGTACTTTACTTGAGTAATTATTTTTACAGCCTACTTTTAACTTTTTCACACAGTTATCTGTAAATTCTACTCCTTACATTTTAAAAAAGGCAAGAAGTAGAAAGTTGTTACTTTTATTTCACTTTTGCTTTTTTTTCATTCCTGCTTGTTATTGTAAAAAATAAATACTATCCATATAAATTGTGCCTCCTAGATAGAGTGAATTTAATTGTGATTGAATGAGAAGTATAAATACATAAAATTCTGATACAGTATTAGTTTGTAAACAAACAAATCATGTCACACTTCAGCAGGACATAATCTTTAAAATAAAAAGCCTGTACTTAAGAAGTGTTTGTATTTCACGAATTATATTATTGCATGATTTGGCCGCAGCCCTCAGACATATTTTCATTTTGATGTAAAGGTTTGGGCAGCCTTGATTTTGTATATAAACTGAAACAGCTGGACTAGTGCATCCTAAATTTAACATAAATTAAACATTATTTAATACAATATTGCAATTTCTGCATTTTTTGGGGAGGTCACCTCCTAATAAATGTCATTACAGAAAATCTAACTGCTCATTTTAAATCAAAATTTTACTTTTAATACTTAAGTACAAAAACTATCAGATACTTTAAGACTTTTACTCGAGTAATATTCCTAAAGGAGAC